ATTTTCCTGCAGTTTTTTATGAAGGCCACCCAACTGCAGCAGATGAAAGACGACTTCATTCACATTAAAACCACTAAACACATCACAGAGGACAGATTTGCCCAGAACCGTGACGTACGTGTGGCTCTGGCAGACAGGCTGCTGTTCAGCTGCACTATTCAAACAGTGTTCAGTAGTTATAGATGAGCTTTTATTTTTCAGTGCTTGAAGGACTTGAAGCGTAAGTACCTGGAAAAAGAGGATCGTTACAAAAGCTTGGCGTCAATCAGTGAGATGCAGACTCAGCTGGAGGAATTACAGAAACAAATGGCGTGGGCTCTGGTGAGGCGACCTGCAGGTGACCTTTTGCTTCTGGTGCGTTGTAATAGACCTGTTTATAAATGTTTCAGGTGTCGGAGATGGAGAAGGAGTTGGAGCCGATGAAGGACAAGCTGCAGTGTGACAGACGAGCGACAGAGAAATTTGATGAGAAGGTGGATGAATGGAAGGTAAAACAGTTTTATGATATTCTTCTTCTTCCTCATGTCTGATACAGCAAATGTGTTTTTATGTTTCTGTTGTAATTCCAACATCCTTCCATTTTTCATGTCGTTTCACAGAATAAGGTGGAGCAAGCAGAGCAGAAGCTCAAACACATCCAGGATCAGCTGGAGGAGATCACCCAGCAAGTCGGGGATCTTCAGCCTAAATGTGCTGAACTTAAGGCAGAGGCCCAAAAACGCAACAAACTCCTCAAGAGCTGCGAGGTCGGAGTTCAAACAACACTTCCCTTTTCTGTTTGTTTGTTTTCTGGAGTTTCTGTATTTGGGAAATGCTCGAAGATGGCCTGCAAGATCTTTCAGCACAATGTCCTTTTCAAAGGTTTTCAGACACTTCTGCTGGGTTTGGGGTTCGGGTTTAAGTAGTTTGGTTTAGGAGAGCCGGTGTCCTTCCTCGCATTGTTTAAACGTTCTGAAGCTGCTCTCACATTGACACCGTGTTGTTTTTTCTGTGTGTTCCAGCTTGGCGTCCATCGGTGTAGAACTAATCTTAGAGATCTGGAAAAGGACAAAGTTCAGCTGTCCTCACGTTTAAAAGATCTCAGTCTGAGGTGGGATGTTTGGTTTTCGTCTCATTTCTACTAAATGGTTGCTCATCTTGTATTTTAGTTCTGAAAATACCTTTTTTGATTCCCAGTTTTTTATGAATGTAGTGATCGATCACCTTTTCTGCCCTTTAGCATCAGTCAGACGGTGGATGCAGAAGGCCAGCTGAGGACTGAGCGTGTGGCGCAGATTCAGACCGAGCTGGATAACCTGGAACATCAGAGCTCCACTCTGAGCCAGCAGATTGACCAGTATCAACATTCCTGCAGCCGCATGAAAGAAGAACAGGGGAAGATGAGGTATCCGGATCAGTAACACATTTGTGACTGTGATATGTTGGTCTCTTCTGCCACCTTCAACAGACAGAAGTTTAGCTGAGCTGTATGCGTTACTGAGCCAAAGGCTTCGTCAGTGCGGCCTTTAAAAGGCTCCAGATATGTTTGGTTCCTACTTTTGAACTCCAGATTTTCCCTCAGAGCTGACAGAGATGGAATGATTTAAATCGGGATGCTGAGAGCTGAGCAAATCCGTTTCAAGGACACGTTCATGTTTTTTCGCTGATATTCAATTATAATCAAATCAAATCAAAGCTTTATTTATAAAGCACCTTCCACAACCCTGTCAGGAAGCCCAAGGCGCTGAACATGGTTCAGTAGAAGTACAAATATAGTGAATAATTCATAAATAAAAGCAATTCAAATTACAAAAAAAAAGGTGAAACATTCTAGTACAGGACAGATGGGTAAAGCAAGCGATAGAGTGAACCAATGAAAACAGGGAATTAAATTCAACATAAAAGAGGGCCGAATCAAACATGTTCAGGAAACGCCAAGCGGAGGAGGTGTGTTTTTAGGCGACTCTTAAAGACGGGCAGAGATGGGGACAGCCTGACTGAGGGTGGCAACTGGTTCCAGAGAGACGGTGCTCGGACTGAGAAAGCCCGGTCCCCGCCAGTACGACACCTCGAACGAGGGACAGCGAGCAGGCCTTGTTCTTATAAAGAAACGTCTTTCTTGTCGTATCTACAGGAAGGAATTTGATGTTCTCCGGAGATCCATTGAAGCAAACAAAAGGACACTAGATACGATGATGGCCAGCCGCTCTAATCGACTTCGGCGTTTTGGAGACCAGATGCCGGAACTGCTCGGTGGCATCGAGGAAGCCCACAGAAAAGGCCTGTTCAAGCACACCCCCCGAGGACCTCTGGGTAAGACTCTTGACCTTGTCTGTCTGTGTTGTTTACTACATTTTCATTCTGAATAGATCATTCGACAATAAAACACCAATAATGATAGATTTCATTGTAACACCTTTTAAGTCATACTTGTTTCTGTTTCTGATCCTATAAAACCAACAGAGTTAACTCATTAACTGCCAGCCTTTTCACTGTTTTTTAAGAGCGACAGAACGTTGCGCGCTAGGATGATGTCGACGCCAAGACTACCAAAACAAAGCGGAGACCAGAGGTGGAAAGAGTACTAAAATGTTGTACTTAAGTACAAGTATAATTACTTTCATGAAATTTTACTCAATTACAAGTAAAATTATCTGCCTCAAAATATACTCAAGTAAAAGTAAAAAGTAGCTTATTTCAAATGTAGTCGGAGTAAAAGTTACTTAGTTACTTTTTTGACTGTGCAAGGACGGGCTCTTCTGAATAGTTAAAAAAGACAATGGGGTATAAATGTCAAAGTGGCCGTTTTTTTATTAAATGAACAAATATGCATGTTGAAGTACAAAGGCAGTTACACTGCAAACTAGTAACATAAATTAGGTTATAGTCACAAGTCCGTGACTTTTCCCTGAACGACCACCCCGGCAGATCCTGATAGGCCGACCCAGTCTCTCAGCCTCTCCAGTAGCAGGTGATGGTCAACAGTGTCAAAGGCTGCAGTCAGGTCCAGCAGGACCAGAACCAGAACCCTGCATCACTGTGAGTCAGAAGGTCATTAGAGACCCTAAGAAGAGCTGTTTCAGTAGAATGAGCTCTATGAAAACCTGACTGGAAGCTATCATAGATGTTATGTTCATCAAGAGCAGCTGTGAGTTGTTTAGCCACAACCTTTTCCAAGATCTTGGAGATGAACGGAAGTTTAGAGATGGGTCTGAAGCTGCTATGGAGAGAGGGGTCGAGACTCGGTTTTTTAAGAAGCGGGTGGATTACAGCGTTCTTAAAGTAAGCAGGGACCTGACCAGAGACCAGAGAAGCATTAATTATAGAGAGCACGCTGGGACCGATGGACTGAAAAGCACTTTTAAACAAAGATGAGGGTAAGATGTGATGGCTGTTGCTTGACTTGCTTCGCCCCAGCCTCTGCCATCTGATCAAGGTGTCTTCTCATATTGATCGAACCTGTTGAATGACAAATACATAACACATATTTAATATATCTGGCAATTAAGTTTTGATAGAAGATGCAACAAGAATTGTTTTTAGTAACACATGCCTTACAAATACTATAATTTGTGTCGACAGACTCGTATAACTGAACTTTAAGTATGTTGACAGGATTGAAATGAATAAGAAACAGATTAAGGTATGATATTAAATTATAAAAAATTACCTGCTTCAATGATATCGTGCCTCTCAGTCCAGGTGGTCTTGAGCTTTGGAAGAAGGATTGCAGCAGCAGTCAGCTCAGCGTCTTCCATCATCTCACCAAAGTGCTTTTGGACACCATCCTGAATGGCTCTGAAGAGTGGCAGACACATCTTGGAGATAGTCTCCAGTCTGCAGAGTTTTTCTTATAGCTGGAAGATCACTTGAGGGGCGGGACTAGGAAGCTCAAAAATGACCAATCAGAAAAAAGAAGGAAATCCCGACTGTACCACACGACGCGGTAGATTTCTAGTTGTAGTAAAAAAAAAAAAATAGCATCTGGCAATGGCGCAAACATCTTTTATTTTTTAGAAGAAATGCTTTTAGCGCTTCTACTTGTGGTTTTAAAGACATCTGAGTCATTTAGAACAGAGGAAAGAGCCGCAGCGAACTCCGCCGCTGTCTTCGTTGTTTATGAGAAATTGAGCACCGCCGTGTATGACGTGAATTAAACAGGAGTCTGGCAGGCCAGGCTGTCTTTCTCGTACCATTAGCGCCTATTTTCTTCTCCTACCCACCATTCATTGCACTGTAAGGTCACTGAACACATGCTTCACACTAAGAAGTTCAGCTCACCTGCTGACCGCTCAGCCATCCCTTCATTCCTTCTCACAAGCTTTGATCTTAGGTGATCCTCCAGTCATCCGAGTAGTCAGTTAGTGTTTCTTATCCTTTCCTTCGTACCCCGTAACACTCTCGTAACTTAAGCGCTCAGTTCTTCTGGTGCACGGCTTCAGCGTCCGCAGCACTTCCGTGTTTGGGTCTTACAGTATAGACATATATGTACATAGACACTTCATTAAGCGCTGGATCACTCTCAAGTGCGTTAAGACGCTTCTACATATGTATATGTTTATACTCTCGTCTCTCTTCTCTCTGGTTGTGTCTGAATCCAGTGCGAACCGTGCGACACAGTATTTTGCAATGTTGTTTTTTTTACTCGGTAACGGATAAGATAAAAAATGTAGCGAAGTACAAGACTTACAAAAAACAATACTTAAGTAAAAGTAAAATTACAGATTTTAAAAACTACTTAAAAAGTATAAATGCGCAAAAAATCTACTCAATTACAGTAACGCAAGTAAATGTAATTCGTTACTTCCCACCTCTGGCGGAGACTCACCTGTTACATCAGGAAAAATCCGCGACTTTCAAGCGTTATCCATTCTTTAAAAACTCGTTGTTGAATTGTGATCAGCAGAAGCTTTTCAGATTCGTGCCTCACTTTTTTTACCGCAGCGGCCCAAAATGATCTCCTAACACATGGATTTTCAGCTTCCTGATCACGTGACGTGTGACGTACGCGGATGAAGATC